AGGACATTTCAATGGGCAGTATGCAATATATGCCGATCTATTACCGTAAACAATAATGGGGCTGAGTTTAACCAAATTAAAATGTAAGAGCACGATAACAATGACACATATACTGTAGAATACTTTTAATCGCAGTATAATGTATTTTTTTATACACCCAAGTACGGGAATCTTGTTATAAATACGAAAACGTTTGTAACACCTGCGCAGACATTGATGAGATCATGAGGGAAAAAGGTTGCATTTGTTCACACGACTATTATGAGCCCTCACATTTATATCTTTACACTAGGACGCTTACACGGTTTGCTGTCTTTCTGTCTTCGTTGAGACTAAGAACACCGATTTATTAAATAGTGAAGGTGTTGGTGTTATTATTACTGTTATTAATTAATAAAATGCCAAAAACTAGGGATATAATAATGATACTAAGGTGAAACAAAGTACAGATCACAGCAGAATTTGGGATCATTTGTCAGCAAAAAATCAAATGTCGCTACATCATGCAGCAGGGCAGTCAATCAAGATATGACAGATATGACATGCGTTATCAATTAGTAGATAAGAAAATTTAAACATATATCTAAAAGATAGGCTGCAGTAATAACAGATTTAATATATGGGTTTATTAATTGTCAATATGTACAGGATAAGCAACACTATAGTCGTTACTGAAGGGACCAATTCTATGTCTGTGTTTATAGGACTCATTCTGGCCCTGTCTGTCCCGTTTGATGATGAGCTTCCCGGTGTCTAGGCCGTTCGTTTCCGATACCAAAAAATTGCTTGACTGCCAACTTTACTCTTTTAAACGACGAACGACGTCTTGGTTTCCTCGTCGTATTATCACTATCACTCGATGAGTCCCGCTGATGATGCTGATGCTGCTGTTGCTGCTCCTTATGCTTCCTAGGATTCAAATATAGAAATTCTTGGACCGAAAGAACCCCCACAGAGTCTCCTAGGCCTACTACCGTAGCTGGCCGACCCTTTCCACCTTCTACTGCATCAGATGACATTAAGAGAAAGCCAGAATCATGTCGTTTACTGTTTCGACCGTTATAAGACCGTCGGTATCTGGCGTCTTGAATTACAGGATGGCGAGACATTGCAGGTGATATTATAATTATTTTGTATAATTATTTTGTATTATTAGTATATATAAGATGATAGTCCTTTATGTGTTGGGCAGTTCTCTGCGAGCGAAGACGATATTACTCTTCTTCGTTAGATAAAAGATTGGGGTGAGTCTGTGAATTTATAGAAATGGAATGTGCGATCATTCGAGTGTAACAGAACAATCGGACACAGCATACTTTACACAATCAATAGAATGCGGGGCATGTACTGTACCTTTGTTGAAGTGACCTTACTATCTTCTCACTTTGCTCGCTATGTATGGTCTATTTCGCTATTACTCACAACAACTCATCATGGCTCATCATACCTCCAGTCTATACGAAGGAAGCCATCTAACAATCTTGTATAAAATGTCATTAACGTTAAGGGACCAGCAAAATAAATCTGCATACAATGAGTGCGCATTGTTTGGTTACCATTAAATATTAAATTTTGTATTATAATTATATCTTACTAACGTTACGATTGTTGCGATTAGGTTAGAGTTGTTTTAAGTTTATCACACTTTTGCTATTCATACTCATGATCGGTAAAGTATCTCGAAAACTTTTAACCCAAACGATGGTTTTATAGTATCGGATGACAAGTTGTTGTCAGCTGTACTCTTCGAAGACATACCATCTGTCAATCATTTTGTGTCACGGCTTGCACAGAAGAACGCAGGTTGAGCATCTCTGTCAAACATTTTGGTTAATCTTGCTATTACTATTTTTCTCCTCTTTCATTTGACCAAGTCAAGTGATGGTAATTATACGTCGATAAAACAATGATTCCCTTAATTATATATATATACGTTTTAATCGTTTGATGTATTATTTTGAGATTCAAAAGTTGGCGAATAGCCCTCTTTTTTTTCCCCCAGCATATAAGAAAAATGTCGTATGTATGCCGGGGACTTTAATGACACATCTCTCGTTACTTTAATTGCGTCGATTCTATCCATCACGCGTTCTGTCTGTGCGTGGATATCATTACCATTTTAACCCTTCGTTCTAAAGCACGCAAGATTTCTTGTCTCAAAAAGGTTATGTGGCTTATTGTCAAAAATGCCCTAAATAAATAAAAAAGAGAGATATATATATATAATTTATATATATTTATTTATTTAACCAGATTTTCCAAGATACTATCTACAAGACTTTTTGACATATTTCTCGTTTATCAAAATCTCAAGTAAGTAAAAGTTGACTACGTCAAGTTTTGACAGACTGGGGTGCATACGACGTATACAACTGCGGGATTGCATGCATATGCTTCTCACGCGTAAGTCGGAGCACAAATTCACCATCCCTAATTAGTATAGATAGCGCTTGTAAAAACAGCGTCTATCGGTAGCACACTCTCTGATTCTCCATTTCGCTTTTCCATTCCGCTTTGACATTAACTTTATTTTAACTGCAAAATAGACGTCTGCATGTCTATATTACTTTGTCCTAACCCGATAGTGCTCGTTGGCGCTAACTTTACTTTGAACATTCCGCAAGTATTCAAAAATTATTTAAGTAATCGGGAATTTTAGGCGAAGACTTAATTGATGGTCGCGCCCGTGTTCAAATTGACTGAATATTCTCAAATTTAGGCTAATCCTTCAATTGTCTTTGTCTATGAACCCAATCTGTTACTATGTTCAATATATTTTAATTATCGGCACTTAATAGCCAGCAGATTAAAAACGAACATTATAACAAGGTTTAAAAACGTTTGCCAACAGCTCAACTTTTTGATGCAATATCTGTTTTAACTTTTATCAGGGGGTTTATTTGAGCTTATCGGGAAAGAATATGTTTTAGCTAGTATTTTAACAATTTGGTTTTGTTTATGGCTTACTTGGAGGAGTGGCTAATTTCTAAATGACAACCTTTCTGACAAGCCTATCGAGAACAAGAGATTTACGTATAAAGAACTTGGAGCAAACAAACTATGACTGGTCGAACTGACAAAAAATTGCACATAGCATCAGCGACACGATCTCGATCAGAGAGGATTGTGACGCATTTGCACATTTACGTGCTTTTTCTATGAATAAGGTATAAACTCAACGCGTGCGTTGTCTATCAATTAAACGTTTTTTCTCTAGCTTGACACCGTAGTGTCTACTTAATTGCAACCAGATTTAACTCTGAGCTTTCCGAGACGGCTTAAACGTCGTCAATTTTCTACTAAAAAATACTCGTATTTATTTGTTCAACACTTACGAAACCAAATTTACTACTACTACGAGAACATTGGTTATAATTAGCAAGTTGGAAAAAACACAATTCGACGCGGCCTTTGAAGTTTTTTTTACAGACGATAGATTTGCCCACTATGTTTTATTATGATGCACTTAAAACCTTAAGGCTAAAATATAGCTAGTCTTTATATAACTACCATTGTGCATTTCTGAAGACCTGTCCACAGATATACTCTATGTTGGCTTAGCACAATCACCTTTTGTATTCTGCCGCATTTGTGAATTAACTAAATTGGATACGGGTATCAATTTTATCGTTATCGATACCACATTAATACCTAACATTATATTTAGATTAATTATTTTTACAGTCCAAGCGGTGATGTTTTTATATCGGCGTAGTATAAGTCTTGAGAATTATACAGTGTCAAAAAAGGTGATGGCTTACGAATAAACTTTTATTTAACTCGTAAATAAAAACGCAATTTACTTGCAAATCAAAACAATTATATGCTTGAAAATAAAGTCGTAACTCTATCATAATTTTTCGGATGGAAAAAAGAGTGTTGTTATCTGATACTGTAAAAAAAGGTCAAGAATATGCAAAGCACTACAATACTACATCAAAAATAAATGGCTTGTGGACAGATATTTTTTCTCTTGAATATGGTAGTAGACATGATTGTCTCTTTATTGTGTCGTGCCGACTATCACGGGAGAGCAGGTAATAATCGACACTAGAATTTAGCTAGTTTCGGCGTCTCCTTCTCTAGATAAACCTCGGGTTACAATGTATTTACGTTGTTTATCTAGACGATGCGGCGAAGACACAAAAATAGTTTGTAACATTCACATTCCGCAGGTATATGCCTTGTTTATATTTTGGCAAAAAATAACTTGAACTTTACTGTTACTCCCGTCACAAAATTTTACTACGCCACATAATGTAAAGATCCCTGTTACATTCCATGGATTCAAAATTTTGCTGCTCTCGGCTTTTAAATAGAAAGTTGAAATGTATAAAATTAAACTATATAGATGGAGATTTAGGAAATACTAATTTTGTATGTTTACTCTTGATGCCTTACGATGACTTGACCTCGCGCAAAGTTATATACTTCAACGCCTTCTTCTTCCTGAAACATTAACTCCACCCCAGCAATGATTTTATTAATCTGGACTTTATGTGAACCATCTTCGCTCGCCCCCAGATACTTTCCAATGATCTCAGTTTCGTCATCACCACCTATTCGAATGGATACTGCTTGATCTACTTGTAGCAACATTTCTGGTGCAATTTGCAACTTGCCTTCTGTCATGATATCAACTTTTCTGAGCTTGTCAGGCTTAAGATGATCCATACGAAGGAGATGGAGAACAGCATTTACGGATCTGTTGGGCGAAAATACGCATGTATGCAATTTTTCACTTGCTATTGCGAAATGGCATCGTGGAGCATTCTCCATGAACAAAAATCGAAAATCGTTGCCCGATAATTGATGCGTATCTTGTTCTTCGTTATCTTCAATCCATGTCTGCAACTTGTAGGGAATGAAAAGCTGGCTAACGTTAACGTGAATCAGCGCCTCCCATGTGTGAAAGAATGACTATTCTACCATTACCGATAAAGCATATTCTTGACTATTAAATGCTTGAGCCACCCGGGCAGTCAACAGCTTGTGGGCTATTATTCTAAATTTGCGGTTAACACGCATAACAACATGTTGGAGACAGGGTGAAGGTAGTAGCGATAAAATGTCGATAAGAAGCTCGATTGGGAAAGCTGATAAGTGCATTTGTTGGAGGTAATTCGCTCAATTGCTACGATTAAGGATGACACAGATTATTACGTCATCCATATTTTGTTATCACGTAATAATGACCAAATATTTCTTTGATTCGTAAAATGCAGTGCAGTGCTTTGTAAGTTATATATTTAAATTGCGTGTCATGACCATTTTACATCCAGATATTAACATTCTGCTTGACGTCCATTATGAAGATTCTAAGGCTGTTGCTCGCTCTCATTACAGTAATCTGCTTCCGCAATATCATCCTGGCTGTAAAGATCGCATATCTTGAAACAAGATATCTTAATGGCAAATATACTGGATTTTCCATGTTGGTAAACGTTACTACCTGCGACCTATGATCCATGTCCAGATGGCAGCGGATGCCCTAAAAGCGCGACATGCTTAACTGACGGCTGCGACGCATGCACTGCTGGTTGCTGCCTCTCTACCCAATATTGCACAGCTGACTTTACTGGTGCTGGAGGCAGTGGAAGTGGAAGTGGAAGTGGCAGTGGAGATTTTGCATGTCAAGATAGTAAAGGCAGATGTTGTCCCATTAGCATGCATGAAATGTCATCCTAACAGCAATATGTTAAAATTATCGGCAATAAAGTTAAACCCGTGCCTATTGCATTATTTTGTGTAAACACATTACGATCTTATAATTAAGAGAAAGGACGCTTTTTTCGAGGAATAAACATATTTCTACTATATTCGCCTGAATGGTTTAGTACACGGGTCTATTCTTGATTTTTACTTTCGCAATAAATTGGCATTTGCATAATTGACCACATATAAATCATTAATCTCATTCTTCCATTGTGAATGAGTCATCCTTCAGCGTCCTATTATATGTAGATCCACCACAATCACGTCTCCAACAATCAACTATGCTGTCTAAATATTAATAATATACATAATATGGACATAACAAATATATCCAGTTACATACGACCAAGCGTATAATTAGGATGACAATGTCATTTTTAGAAGCTCAGCGAATAGTTGTCACTACTGAATGAACAACTGCTACCACAAATGCCACCGCTACTATGTGTGTATCTTTTTTATGTTGGCACTAACTTTCAATTACCTCTTCCGTTAATGTGGGAAGACCGTTTTACTCTAGCTGTTATGCGTAATATATAACAGTATGCCATAACAGGCCTCGCTCACCCTGTTCACCTTGAGCAGTCTGCGTGTATTTATAGAAAATTAATGGACCGCAGCACGTTTGCGATTCAGTAAAAATAATGAAAACTTATGTACTTTTAAATTATTATCTTACATTTCCTCGTTTAACTCTTTTAATGACAGACTTTTTATTTTTTTGTTTGATCCAAAACGTAACTTGGGTCTACCGCTTTCTTACTGTAATACATTATGTAATTATTATTATTATTTAACTTTAAACAATTAAGAGATTGTTGTAAATTCAAAAATAAAATAAACGACTATCGAGTATAGTGAACCTCTATAAATGCAGGGTATAGTATACCATAGATGTCACGTGAAATTAAAATGATTGGCGTTCTCTAAATGCACAATGCAAGTAAGTTCCCCGACTTAGAGGGAGTTCACTGTATAATCAAACAAAACCACATGCCTCACTTGATGAATAGCGAAAATAGTGGGAAAAAAATATTGGATAGCGATATAGCCATATTGAAAGCAACAATAACCGAATGAGCGTACTCGAAAAGATGACCACATGTTATTACGGTTTTAATTAACTGTACATATTAATATGGTATATGCACTGCTTGCCAATCACTTGTATGCGCTCCAATGTTTGTAACATTTTACCGTTCTAGATATAAGCCTCAAGAATTATTTGAGGCATAGGAATAACACGCACCCGATAAAAATTGTATTAGTTTTAGTTATTGGACAACTTTCTCACTGCCACTATAGAAAAGTGAATACTACGAATATTAATCACTACGCAAACTTGATGGGGAAAACAAATTTCTCTCCAAGTGACAAACATGTGATAACCATTTTTCCATTTTTCCTCGTGAATAATAAAAGTTAGAGACCGAGGTTCGAATAGTCGCTAAAAAATGGCATATTTCCTAAAGTGTATATTAATATTGAGTAAGTTAAATGCAGTACTTATCTAATATTAACTACAAACTGACTCAATGATTCGTCATCTTATATGTTATCATTAATAACATTTCCTAAATATACTGGATATACTGCATATCTGTTTGCGTAAAGCAGAATTTATTATCAGTTTCCTGACTCGTTTGAAAAAAAACAAAAACTCTCACTATTAAAATTAAATTCAAAAGGTCTCGTACTCATCACTACACGTAAAAGAAGAAAATAGAAATGAAACAAAAATTTCCAAGCAAAGGTTTACGGCCAGACCGGCTAGCCACCACTTTTCTCTTCTGACGGTTTGATCAAAGCAACTGGCACGGTATGCTGAAATATTAATATACAACTGCTGACTTACCTATCTACTCACACTACACTATATAGATAAACACTCAATAGGGTGAGGTGATAATTAAGTCATTCGTAAAAACCGCATATTGCCTGACCAATCTCAAATCAAGGGGGGCGCGTACTACAAATATATCCGTAGCGACGCCTGCAGCAGCGGTGGGATGTAGATCGGATCGGGGTTTGTGATCGGATACCAATCTTTACGTTATTTACATAAATAGTAAATCGATGGGTTACAGTTAATTTGTGACAGGGGTAAAAATAGTTGTAGCCATGCAGAGTGGTTATTTCCGCCATCAGGAATTGCGTCGAATATTCCCTTGTTCCCTTGTTTATATTTCGCGGTAAATCTGTACAAAGCAAAATGGTAAGGAATTAGTAATCGAAAATTCAGTGGTTCACCAGTGAGACAGTGCGTACATCGGCGAAGTTTCCATTTTCCGTATTGGCTTTACAGTTCAAAACATTATACTTTTGTGGCGTCTCCTGGAATTTGTTTATGGCATAGGGCAACCAACAATCTTCAAGTCGATGTATTATCCGCACAGCAGAGGCGAGATTTTATCTGTCCCCCGTAATGCAAAGAGCTCTGGTTCTAATACTAATGCAGACACAAACTCAGCCTAGATTTTCGTCATTCCATCGGCAATGTTGCAAATTGAACTGGATTTTTTTATTTAAAATCGTATCGTGACCCCGCTCTACATCCTAAATATTACATCAATCCTGCTTGACGTCTAATATGAAGCTTCTAACATTATTCCTCGCTCTCACTGCAGTAATCTCTGCTTCCGCGACATCATCCCAGCTACAGAGCAGATCTAATACCGTACATCTTGAAGCAAGAGAGCTTAATAAATATGCTGCGCTTTCTTTCTTGGAAAGCGCTGGTACATGCGCCAATGCAAGCCAAGTTCCATGCAAAAATAACGTTGGATGTTGCCCTAAAGGCGTGACGTGCTTACCTAACGGCTGCGACATTCCATGCACTTCTAAAGATATACCTTGTGGCAGTGGTTGCTGCTACTCTTACGAAGTTTGCACATCTACCTTCAAGTGTGCTCCAGGCAGTGGAAGTGGAAGCAGCAGTAGTGGCAGTGGCAGTGGCAGTGGCAGTGGAAGTGGAAGTGGAAGTGGAAGTGGCAGTGGAAGTGGAAGCAGTGGTAGTGGTAGCGGTGGCATCAGTAATGATGCTTTTAAAACACATATGCAATTATCCATCGAGCTTCTGACGACCATTGTCGTCCTAATTTATATATCCGGTTATATGTAATTGGATATGTTTCTATGTTTTTCAGAAGGAATTTTTCATATTATTAATTATAAATATAATAACCTCTTAGACAGCATAGTTGAACATGATTGTGGTGGATGTTCAGAGTTAATTTATTTGTAATAAACTGGGTTTACCGCATAGCCGCAGTTATCATTGAGGTATCCAACAGAAAGACACACTCCTTATTGATACGCAAGTAATATTCGCGAAATATAACCTCTATCATGGAGGACTTTAATTCGAAAAATGTTTCCGCCTTTAAACATCTATTCGTAATATCCTTCTGCTATGTAAATAGCCGGTAGCTTTTTCATGCAACAATCAGTGTATTAATGACATGCAGAGCAATAATTATAATTACTTTAATAACATTCTCAGATTAACATCTCGATTTGATATGATACAATTCACTTGTCAGCGACACTCGCAAATGAGACAACTTAAACGTTATTTCAGTATTCAACGCTTCCTAGTAAATATTGAGGTTCAAGATATACACGACCATTTTATGAAATAATGATATTTTATTATTAACCACTTCAGTATCAAAGACTTGACTTTCTACAGAAAGGTTCATCGGGAGATGATATTTGATAATTGGTTAATTATACATAAATGGATTCTATATTTTCTACAATCGTGTGTTCTTTATTACACAAGCCGGTATCTTTGCCATAGTAATAGTAAAGTGGTTATTACAGGCCTGATAAATTAATGCTTGGTAAGTAAACCCAATGTGCAGTAATAGTATATTTGTTGCATTGTAAAAATTTGGTTTATAGATCCGCTTATTTAATTGGAACTCCATACTAAGCAAACTCCGTTGTATCGGTACCCCTTATACAGCAAACTACTATCATGTGACATGACCAATAAATTCTGACAACTAAAATTCTCCGGCCAGCACAATCGTAATCATTTATAGCGAATGCAAATAGTCTAAACCACACATTCCCCTCTTTTCCCTACAAAAGCCTTTTCTGCATACTTGATAGTCTAAACAATTTCGCAATGTTCAATTGAAAAACTATCAGGCATTGCAATGATATCCACAAATTATGTTTCCTTCTGAAATATAAAATTAGAGTAATTCCTAATCCATGGGTTTGCAAGAATGTTATTATTCATGTCCCGTTTACTATGAAAATAAGTTCTATCCAACCAAATAATTGTTGAACTGTATTCCTAT